TACTGCTGTTACACACCACAAAACGCACAACAAGATATGTGGTCTGAATGGTCCATGTTCGCACGTACATGACAAATACTCAATTTCATCGTAGATTCAAGAGCGGGTGCATTTTGCAGATTTCGTCATCCTTCTCCCTTTCTCTCTCTTTCCATATTCTGTTCTTTATCAGATTTGACAGTTACATTCACCGCCGGGGGTTGAACATGCGTTATAGTATTTAGTCGAAAACCGTATTCTGACGGGCTCTCAGTTAGCACAAATTCCGTTGTGTCTTATAAAACACGTGATTTTTTTTCTTACAGGTCAATGTGTTTGATTTGGGTCGTACGTTGAATTTTTTGGCGCGTTCGCTGAAGATTAGTCTTCCGACTAGCGATCCCTGCATGTACATACTACGATTTGCAGTTTTACTAGATTTTGGCGACAAACAAAAGGAGGTGAGCAAATGCCTGCTGCATTTTGCTAGTGCTATATTTCACAAGTAACAGTCCTACAGTATTTCGTTCAATATCTGTTTTGATCATCTGTTTTTTTAATGCGTTTTGTGTTTTGTAACAGCAGCACAAAACGCATATTGTCACGAAGTTATCTGTGTGTGTTTGTGTGTGTGTGTGACCGTAGCAACTCATCCGCAACTTTCAGCTCGGGGACCACAAAAGCTAGGAAGCTGAAAATCTAGGGGAACGTCCCCCACCTGCGTATGACCCCGCAAATTTAAATTCAGCTTCCCCGTACCCACGGGTAACACGTATGGCTCCTTGAAAGTTTTTTACGGGTAAATTAATAGCTCGGGAACCACGAAGTTTAGAAGACTGGAATTTTACGGTAATGACTCCTTGTCCACGCTCGACCTTGCCCATTCAATTTCAGCATTCCCGCGCTCTTGAGTATCACCTACGCCCTCATGAAAATTTTGGCGGGTAAACTACTAACTCGGGAATCACGGAAAGGTATTCACTCTTCAAGGTTTCGAATTTAGCTTTCGTGCGCTGTTCCGTGAAATTTTTAACTGTTTTCCAATGTTTGAACTATTTTTGCATAGACTAAAGTACGAAGCAGTGAAAATCATTAATAGGCAATCGTTCGATGGGCTGAACTGCACAAAACGCATAATCGCACCGGCTAGTCTGGTGCGCGTTGCTATTTTTTATTATTGCACTTATCGTGGGCTTCTATGGAATTGAAAACTTCTGCTCATACCTGTATGATCTAAATCACTGAGTTCAGTCAGATCATTGGCGAGGGGTCTTTTGCCGCCTGTCCCTCCTCCAGGAACTCAGGCAGCAGCTATTTTACTGTAGAAAACTCTGTTTGGTACGCCTGTCGCTCTCCCGCCCCCAAAGGCCTCTATCTCCCCGTTCGAAGCGGTAGCTTGGTGTCGATTGTTGGAGAGGGAGGGGATAGCGGGACGATTGAGGGGTGGGTAATGAACTGGCCGAGGGGGAAGGTGTAGTGATGGAGAGGGGGAGTGGAAGAAAAATCCTTACCCTTCTCCTTCAGGAGACCGCCCTGGATCCGTCTATGAATCATATTGCCCGGACAGTCATTTGAGAATCCTGTTTTAATCTTGTTGCTGATAGATGTGTTTTTTGATTGCTTCCTCGTTTCCTGCTCAGTCAGTCTGGCTGTTGGTACTGCTCTGTTTTCCCAAATTTCTCTCCTTCTGCTTTTTCAACTTTTTTTCTCTCCCCCTCACTCTCTCTCACTCTTTTTCCCTCTCACTCATCCTTCTAGCAAATTAGTTACATATCCTTTCAATTAATGGCGGGTAGTAAGCTGTACTGACGATTCTCACTCCTACCCGCATGCATAGTCCGGTCTGTGTTTACGGCTAAGGGATGAAACA